CGAATTAGTAAAAGTTAGAATTCATGCACTGGCCATTGAATTGGGTCCCAGTGGCTGAATGGTATACGAACCTGCCGGAAGGTCCTAGGTTCGAACCCCAGTGGGTGCGTACCGCCAATGATTCTCACAATAGGATGAAGCAGCCGACCAGTACTCCCTGATTTTCAATGGTTCTCTAAGTGATATCAATCCGTGGTCAAACTCGAAAAAGCATCTCATGTTGATTCTTGTTCTATTTCAACAAATATTCTCAATGGCGCCTTAATAACGGTTCGCTTCATATGTTTTCTCTATCCACCTACAGCAAGATCAACACGTCATAATTCTAGATCCATGAATCCTGATCCGAATAAAGACTACCTTGTCAAATTCATAAAGAAGAGTGATTTAAGCCTATTTATGCAAGAACTGGCGTGGAGTCATGCTCTTGTCCAGCCCAAGCAAAATAGTAAGTTGGAACATCCAGAAATGACTGACAGACTTTTTGGATGGAAGACTTTACACAAAACGCGTCACCGTCAATGGGAGAAATCTGAAGAAATCAAATATTTTACCTTGCCTGGCGAGGATCATTTCAACTGTACACCGCACAAATGAAGATTTCAAAACCAATCAGGATCGGAAAAGCAAGAAAGGTGACCATCACCTCATAAGTTCCTAGCAGGACACAGAGCTTTGACGTTTCAGTAGCAGCGATGTTTTATTTTTACAGGGTGGGGTTGCTAGCCTCACTCCTAACCTTCCTTCTTTACCGGCAATACTACCGGCTTAGCAAGGTTTAGGAGTGTGTCGGCCGGGAATCGAACCCCAGACAATATGCATTGAATGGAACCCGACAATCTAATCTGGACCTCCAGTGTGGCTGGGTAGCGTTCTACGGTTGAGTCACAGATGCATTTCTCTAGTAACTTCCAAATTACCATAAAGGTCTAAGCAAAGACAAAAAGTTACTAAACTTTAGTTTTCTAAATAAATAAACACCAAGATTTTGTCAACGCTTATCATCTTTTTTAAAACAAACCTGGTATCAGAAGTACAATAATTAGAAAACAGTTTTCCCAGGATTTATAACCATTCAGTAATGCATACACTAAGTTACTTTTTGAAGTAAAACGAAAAACTCCTTAAATTTCGTAATGATCTTAATGTCTTTTAACAGTAACAGAATATTATTTTTTACTGTTTACATTATAGTAGAAGTATGGCGCATGCTACTGACAAGATTTTGTAAGTAGTATGTTGTATAGGATGTCTTCTTCAAGAATCTCGAGTAACAAAGTGAAAGACAAAGTTCGAAAAATCAGAAATGAAGATCCTTGTGAAATCACGTAAAGAGCATGAAAGGAAGAATAACTTTTATAAACCAGAATTTCAGTATTACGGATTTTGCATTTTTCCCCACCACTGTACTTCATCATTTCATCAAATAAACAATTCTACTACCAGATATCGTTATCCTCTGCCATAACAGGAATAGTAATTTTATACACGTTATTACAATCTAATGACTTATTTACCCTAGTATTATTACCAGTCTCCTTATTATTATAACTAGTATGAGTCATAGTTTTACCTGTGAATAAATTTAAACTATCATTAATCCACACAAATTGATTCACAGTAACCTTGAATAATCGATCTATCTGGTATACACTTCAAATGTAGTATTTATTTATATTGAACAATGAATGAATGGATTTATTTAAAGGAAAAGGCATCCCATCAAAACCACACAAGAAAAGTACAAATTAAGAAAGATTGAAATGTAAAAGATAAGGAGATACATATATGTTAAAAATAAATGTTTTAGACGTCATTATTTATATGCATATAACATATGTTTGTGTGTTTTCCCCACGCTGAATATTTTAAACAGGATGTATTCAAAATTCAATGTGAATCAGTTACTCTTCATTTTTTTTTACAGGTGAATAATTTGAAAAAAACAAAAAAATTAGTGGAAAGGCAAAAACTACTAAATAAGGTAAATTTTCTGTGGAAAGAAAAACAGTATAGCACAAAATAAAAATCAAATCTTAAAAACAAATAATGTTTTTTGTTTTTTCTACTTCTCACTGACCACACACATTAGGATTGCATAATATTTTTTTATATACGAAGAATGAATGTTTTGACTAACCAATTCTTGAAAATAAAATAGACTACTTCTTAAAGATATTCTTTTAAATTTAAATTTTTTATGATTTGGTAATATTCAAGTCATTTTTTCGCGTTATCTATACTCTGTATAATTTTTTTTAAGTGTCTAATTTGAAATGTTCTGCTTATTAGCTTTATTTTTATATAGATTTCTTATAGGCATCTTATCTCTCGTCCACGCTAAGTGAAATACTAAGTCGCATCATCCTGAAGAGAATAAAAGATGCACAGAACTCCATCAACCAAAACAAGCTGGATTCAGTATAGGTAAACCATATACTCATCGAATTGCAACTCTACGCATCGTCATCACAGAACAAAGCAGAGAATAGCAGTCAAACCTCTCTCTCTCTCTACCTCAACTTCATCGACTTCGAAAAGACCATCGAAAGAATGCGTTGACCGACAATTGATTTGGAAACTACTTCAACACTACGGGGTGCAGTGACCAAATCTTTATCAGGGTCATTCAATATCTGGCTACATCACAATGCCACATGCCAGGTGATCCACAATGGAAAACTCAGTGAGGCGTTTGAAGTGCATACAGGAGTAAGACAAGACTACAGCCTATCATCACCGATGATATTCTTAATTGTGGTGGACTGGATTATGCCTCAGACTGTGAGGAGTGAGGAGACAAGAATACGCTGTACAACTGATAAGAACACTCTAGAAGATCAGGATTTCGCAAGTTGATGATTTATGTTGAATGTCACACAAACTCGAAGACTTGCAAGCGGAAACCAACAAACTGACTGAAGAGGCTGGTGGAAAAGACAGGACTCCAGGTGAACACAGAGAAGACGGAGATAGAGGTGATGAAGATAACCAACTAGAAGAACAACAATCAGCACCAATCACCATCAACTAGAAAAATTCGACAGAGATTGCTTTCTTCACTTAGCTGGACAGCATTGTTTCAAACACAGGTAGTCGAAAAGGATGAAGATGTCAAGGCCAGCCAGTCAGCCAGCCAGCCAGCCATTGTCGGAAAGGCAAGATACATCTTTATCAACCTGAAATCAGTTTAGAAATCTGATGCACTAAGTTAGTGTGAAGAACAAGATTCAGATGCTGTTCAACACAAATGTGAAGTCAGTCAGTCAGTTCTTCTATACGGGTCAGAAACTTGTACTGCGCGTATCACGAAAAGGATTTCCAACAAGTTACAGACTTTCATCAGCAACTGCTCTCTTCACTGGCTCCATAGTTAAGATCAGATGGCAGGCAAGAAAGAATTAGCAATAAGAAACTCTGGATGAGAACAAACCAACCAAGAGCCGATCGTTCAACAAATATGTAGGAGAAAATGAAGATGGATCAGGCATACATTAAGGAGGCAGTCGAATTCCAATGGGAAGCAACAAGTGGGTCGTCAGTGTGAGGGTGACATGGAGGAGATTGTGTGGCGAGGAGGAGATGAGGGATTATGGGCAATCGTGGACACAGATGAAGCAGACATCAGAAAATAGAAGAAAGTGGATAGATAAAGGAACCAATTATATTATATTACTATGCATTCCAAATTGAGAATCAGGAAGGCAAGAAACACATTCATCACTCAGCATCAACAACAAAATTCGGATTTTTAATACAAACCTCAAGTCAGTCAGCTCTTCTATACGCGTCAGAAACTTGACGGGCGGGTCACAAGGAATATTTCCAACAGCCTGTTGCAGACCTTTCTCAACAACTGTCTTTGCTCTACACTGAAGATCAGATGATCGGGCTGGAAAGAATCACCAACGCGAAACTATGGGAAAAAACAAAACAAGAACCAATCGCCAACCAACAAATATGCAGGAGAAAGTGGAGATGGACTGGACACTCGCTCTCTGAGGAGGCCGCTGGGTGACATCGCGCGAGCGTCAGGCCATTTCTCGAGTGGAACTAGGCCGAAAGGGAAGCGGCGAGTGCAAGGGTGACATGGAGAAGATCGTGTGAAGAGGAGTTCAAACAGTATGGACTAACATGGATGCAGGTGAAAAGTACAGCAGAAGACAGAAGTGGCAAGTGGAGACGTGCGGTTGAAGCCCTATGTTCCACTAGGAACCCAAGGGAGCAATAATAAATAATAATAATAATAATCTGCAATATAAAACATTAAATAAATATTTAAAGTTCGTTAATACAGTTATTATAGAAATTTTATAACCAAGTACCAATGAACTGTGAAATCTGACAATGAATGATTGTTTAGTGTTGGTCTGCAGGGATTTGATTGGCTACTGACTTGATCACTAGCCGACATCAGATAGAGAACTATTGAACCAGCAGGGTCGACAAAGTCGGGTAAGACAACACTTACTAACTGGTAATATGTGTATCACGAATCAGCAGAAGTCGGAATTCATGCGCCACTGCATCAGGTCCCAGTGACTGAATGATCAACACGCTCGCTTTGTAACCAGAAGCTCCTGGGTCCGAACCCTGGTGAGTATGTACTGATGAAGAGTCTCAAACTAGGACGAAACGGCTGTTCTGTGCTCCCCGGTTTTCTTGTGGTTCTCCTAATGATATCACCTCGTGATAAGATCTCTAATAAACGATATATCTGTAAGTACTGTTAAACTTAGTATTCGAAATTAGGAGCCGAGAATATATTATTGGCAGTCATCAGCATGAACTGTATGAAAATTTGTAAAACCAGACTGTATCCCTCCAGATATTCTCTAACTTGTCCTAGTAAGATAGTAAGATTAATCTAAAAATATAAGCATTCTGATAAAAAAATATTATGACTATGTCTAGAGGTAAAAATTTGAACATTAAACGTAAAATACAATCTCTTCTTGTCAATAATAATAATCATAATTATAATAAAATTTTTAAATTACCAATGTAAAAAGATTTGCTGTAGCTGCCCATCGTCGTATACGTGTTAATGACCAGGTTTCTATAATTTCTTTCGTTTTTTCATCTACACGCATTACACTTTCTTTACTAACTCCAAATAAACGTGGTACAAGTTTATTACGTCCTTTCAATTTTTCCTGAAAAATGAAACAGGAAAATTTTTTTAAACAGTCTTTTTATTAAATAGAACATTTCTAACATGAAACTTTTTAAAGGCTGGGAAGTAATTAGAGTTGGTAAGACGAAAACAGTTTATGTGATAGTGGAATATCGATTAAACAAAGTGTGTGTTGCACAGAAGTTTGCTGCAGCCTTCTTTATGGCTGAGACAAGGTAGTTGAAGACGTTAGCCATTTTAGACCACGAATATTTGCATTCCCGAGTTAAGCGGTATAGTATAATGGGCAATATTGAGGCTAGGTGTAAAATATTAAGAGGGAAAATCAATCGAAGAAGTTGTGGAGCTACATCAATAATTGACATGGATAGAATATGTGTTACGCATGCTGAGTTATCGCGTTCTTCTTAGAGAATTAGGTTAGAAAAGAGTCAGGGGAAGGGTCAAACTGAAACATGAAGTCTTTAACTGCTGATTTGAGCCACATAGAGATGTACAGACAGGCTGGTTAGATGGCTGGCTGAGGTTGTCGAGGCGATAAGAACCAATTAGTGGAGGTGGCTAGTGACATGACTTGAAATTGTTCTTGATGACACAACTGCATTTACTTTTTGTAATATCTATGAACAATTGAATCCCTTTTATTTCCCCAGGTAATTATTTTCCCTCCCGCACACTTCCACTTATTATAGTTTCCTTGCATTTCCTTTTTCTCTACATATATGTGTGCTTTTATGAGATGTGACTTATTGAACTGTTGGACTTTCGTGCAAGTTTCAGTTCAGTGTAAGAAGAGTTGACATTCACAAACTAAATTATCTTATTAACTGAGGTGATTTTAGAAATAAAAAAGTATTAATGACGGGAAAACATACATTCACAACTTTCCTATAATGGCTAGTAGTTCCTGTTAAGATACAAACGTACACAGTATTGATTTAAACAAAACTGATATAATAGAAAAGATTTGTAGCTCAGCTCAAACAGCAGAGATGATTTTGATTTGCTTACATTCTTTGAACTAGGCGGTTTAATTGAGAAGCTTTCATTGTCCTCCAGGGTTACATCTTTAACGCTTACTTCAATGTGAAGTGAGTGCTTTTGGAATTATTCATGATTTCAATATACTGAAGTTTGCGCTGAAGGTGTTGACCAGTAGGACAATGGAAGTTTCACAATTAAACTATCTAGCTCAGAGAATGCAATCAAATCAAAACTGATATGGTTGATGGCCTAATACAAGAATTTTAAGACGTGGAAATGAAGTTAGAAGAACGACAATGAAGAACCGATATATAGTGTTATGGTAAATTAGTGTCAAAGCCTTTGCAATATCATCAACGGTTCAAAAAACCCCACTAAACACACGCACACAGAGTGCATGACAGTTGACTAGTCACTTCACTTCGAGAGAACAACACACCTCAGCTCTCATTGTTAATACATTACCGCCGTATCTTAATAAAATTAACTTAACAAAGATCCGAATAGCTCAGTGGTGACGTCTCTGACTGCAGTGCTCGCTGGGTGACGCGAATCTGAATCTCAGAAGGGACATGAATTCCTTCAAGTTGGTTGCAGATACGCCTTGATGACTAGTGAGTGCCAACTAGCACGAAACCTAGGTCCAAGGCTTCCTGACGATTGCCTCCAAATACATAATATCACCATTGTCGTTCAAAAAGTTTGAGGCAGGGAATTGAGATGAATCGGACAGATGCTAAAGAGATAGCTGAGTGACATCACATGCCAGGCTCTCAAGTAGCACCTGAATGGGAAACGCCTAGTTGGGCGATCAACGTTGATAAAGAGATTATGTGAATGAGAGATAAAAGCTTATGGGAAATCGAAGAGCCTGTTTAAAAGGACCCTAGAGAACAAGATGAACTGGAGATGTGCCGTTGTAGACCACTTGGAACCTGAGCGAATGATAGTAATAATAACCTATTTCATATTATCCTTGTTAGTTCAACGAATTATCGAAATTCTCTTCTTCACAAAATGTATTTGTTTAATTTAGGATGATAATAATAATAGTAATAATAATCGATCATAAACATAACCTTCATTCAGGTCAATCGACGGTGGATGGTAACAGTTTAATGTTTAATTGGTAGTAATTCAGGTAAATAAGGTCAGCTTCAATACTATTGATTATACAGAACAGTATGATATTTTAAGCAATCAAAAGTCAATAAATACAAATATTGCTGAAGCATTACTTGCACAAAACTCTCCAATCTCAATTCATCATCTCTACCTTTTTATTGCTGGTAGGTAACTTTCAAACACTTCTGTTAATACTTTTAGGATTATTTCCTTGTCATTCAATTTACACAAACCAATTCTCATTTTGGTGAAGATCGAATTTCTGATTTTCCCGCCAGAATAATATTTAATAATTGTTTGTTTATTTCTATTATTTTTTTCTACCTGATTTTATTACCACTCTATTTCTTATAGACCCATACATATATCTAATATGATTGTTCGCGTTGGTTTCTCATTGATTGCCACTGTTCATACATAAACACAAAAGATGCTAGATTTTTCAGTTGAGCGTCCAGAGCTAGAAACAAACTGAAACGAAGTCTCCACAATAACTGGGTGAATATACCTATGCTTTGAAAAGCCTACAACTTCTGTGTAACAAACTTTGTGCTTGAAAAGTGTGCATCAAAAACAAACAACTGCTAATCCTACTGCACAAAATAGGTGAAGCAGTTTTACTTTTATCGTTACTATAACACGATCTGATGTGATAAATGACATCAACTAGAGAACCATTAAAAACTAGGGGATAATGAACAGATGTTTCGTCCTAGTGAGGGGATTTTCCGGCAGCACGTACGAATGACTCCGATGGGGAGCGAACCAAGGATTTTCAGATTACAAGTCGAGGTCACCGTTGAGTGCTGATGAAGAGTCTTGAACTAAGTCGAATCAGCTATCCAGTACTCCCAGCTGGTTTTCAGAGTTTCATGATGAAATCTAACTTAGAAGTATTTCTCTAAATTTATTCTTCAGAATATAGAAAGATTAAAAAGCAGTTCGATTAAATAACTGTGTAATACAACAGCATTAGAATGAATGAACACTATTCTTTCAAACCTAAATGATTATTTCATCCAAAGATTGGCTAAATAATTTGACTGACTGACTACATTTTCAGTATAGAAATCGGCATAAGAGTGCCACAGTTCAAGTTGAGCCAAACTCCATATAATGTGGGAGCAAACGAATATGCACACGGAGAATAATAAGGATTTAATAGATCTGAGAAGTTACGAATGGTTAATGCATCTATGCTATTGGCAACGGCTTTGAGCCATGTCACCAACAATCTCCATTTAGTGGTCCCTAGAGTCTCGACGACCCTAGCCACACAAACTACACCTGTCCACATGGTTCAAACCAATCGGTCACAGACTTCAAGAGTAACTTAACGCAGTTGAGAACAAAATAACCGAAAACACATGAGATTTGAAATTTTAAGAATTCTCACTGAATACAAAGGAATAAAACAATGAAAACGAGTACGTTGTCTGTTAATATTAAAAAGATGTGTTTAGCCATTGACAGGGTAACGTCCACACGCTGGTAAACTTAAAAACTAAGCGGTTAATCTGATCAAATACAGAAACTTATTTATAAACGTATATATACGTATATATCCAATTCAAATCTCGGTCTATAATGCTTTTCACTAACTCCGACTGAAACATAATAAATAATAATTCAGAACATCGGCGTGAAGATTTATTATGAGCTTCAGTCAAAATGAAAATACACTTTCGTTGTATTTTTTCATCCCTAGCGTTTCTGGTGAAACACTGGGCTTCAAGCTTCGAAGTTTCATTAACACGTTAGCTTTACTTTTGCTGCGTTAGGTTACCTAGCCACTCACCAAACCTTCCGTCTTCCTCCGGATTCCAAGAAGAAGCTTAGCAGTGTGTCGCGTCGCGCGGGATTCGCGCCCGAAATCCAAGTGTAGTTTGAGAATATTCTAACATCAAATAACCCAGAAAGCAGAATAGTAACAATAATAAAAGAAGTTACCTTCCTCACAGGAAATACAAAACTCACTTTTATAAGAAAGAATGTTATCCCATAAGTTGGTAAAGATCTGCACAATTGAACATAGCGTAGTTTAGCTTCTCTTTCATCGTAATTCTCCAACTTTTGATATTGCTAGATAAGATTGATTTTTAAAAAAAAATCACATTAAATTATATCAGAAGGTCATCAGATAATTATCTATATCTACAAAAATTCATATCAATGTGGAAGTACACGTGGTTTTAATTATATGTGACTGCATTAAAGTCAGTTTCAAAAGATAGAGAATGGCAAGTAAAATTTCAAAGAAACCGAAAATATTTTCTTTTAATATCTAATGTAACTTAAAATTATTAATTATGCCAAGATTAAAACTGTGAAAGTTATAAAACATATACACTAATAAGTGTTACAAGTAGTCATTAGCCATTTCTATAAACCAATAGTAGACGTTGTCAAGTTCAATATGATTTAAACATCTGATGACCGTTTCGCTTGTTCCTGCCGGAGCTCATCAGTGGTGCATCTAGACTTATTTAGCTAAAAGAAAGAAACGAGCCAAATGTCTCTTGCTAAATAAGCTCTCCATGACACAAACTGAGTTCTGGGTCACTAACTGGTTGCATTCCTATTTCTCAAACAGAATGCAGTACACCGTATACAAAGGTAAATCCTCCTGTGCTGTGCTCACTGAAGCTGGTGTCCCCCAAAGTGCTGTACTCTCCCCACTTCTCTTTTCTTTCTTTCTACATGACTTTCTATCTTCAAATGACATTAATTTTGTTAAATATTCTGACGACCTGACTGTATCTTTGCCTGTCAAATGTCAAGGCGACTGCTCTAAACTAAATGACTTTTTATCAGAAATCAGCCAATGGTCCAAGGAAAACGGTCTAACCTTAAATCCCACAAAATGCCAAACAGTAAATTTCACCTTTAGACATAAATCTCACCTAAACAAACTGGTTAGCACTCACGAGGTGTGCAACATAGATGGCACTGCAATAGAAACCAAGTCGAAAATTAAATATCTTGACATCATTCTATCTGCTGATCTTTCCTGGTCGTCTCATGTCTTGACGATTGCCAAGAAAATATACCGTCTTACCTTCTACATCAAGAAGTTAAGACATTCTGGTATAACCCAACCCCTACTCCTACAATTTGTTAACTCCCGCATTCTGCCTATTATTCTCTATTGTTCCCCCTAGTTTTTCCTGGACTGGCTACTGAAGAAAGACTATACCTTATTACGCAGGATGTTAAAGGTTGTCAGCAGGGTAAACCACAGGGTGCCACTTAACCAGCTTTTTAATATTCTGGTCGACAGGCACATGGACTCATGTGAAAAATGGGCTAAATCCATTCTATCAAACTCACATCACCCTCTTCATTCTCAACTCTCCCCTTGTATCTCATCAGGCAGAACCAGGAGCCTATATAGAAAACTATATGCTCGCACTGGCATACCCTACTTAGCTCACGTTCTGTGCGATAAAGAAAGCATAAGCGTGAAGCTTATAACTTATTAAATAGTCAGCAGAACAACTGGATCCCATCTTTCCAACTCATATCATTTGTAGGTACAACGCTTTCTTTCTTTCTCTTCCTTTTCTCTTTTTTCTGTTATGTGCATCTTTGTTTCTTTCTTCCGCTTACGCCAGTAAATATGCTAGCATCTACTTTTCTAACACCTTCAAACACTCTGTTCAATTTTGGCTTTGCTACCGACATGGCAATATGTTGTCAAAACTAACCGAGATTACCCATAATCTATTTAGAATTTTATTTATTGATAATATACTAACTGGATGTAATACTGTATGTTGTGAAATGCTGAGAATTCCATTCTGTATTACAAGTACTGTTTTAGAATAAAGCAAATTATTATTATTATTAATAGTCACGTAGTACTTAGGGAGCAGTAGTGGTTGATGTATCCTTTGAAACTATCTACAACACTATCCGATGGTTATATCAAATGAAATAGACTATCGAAGCCCACCAATGTGTTAGCGATATAAAAAATTTTAGATTTATTGTTAGTTACAAAATAATTAGTCAAAGCATACACAGATATGTAAAAATGAATTATTTGTTCCTCTGTGAGAAATCAGTGAATTGTATTCAAGAACTCACATGTGCACAAAGACAAACCGACCTTCCTCGACACGACAGTCAAAAGGGATAATGAGTCTGGACTGTTAAGGATCAGACAAGCATCTACAGCTCTTCTTAGTTTTTACAAATTTTCTGGCTAATATACATCAGGCAAGAGTTAATAAGAGACATCAAGGTCAAATGACCTTGATTTGACCAATCAAACTGCTAGTTGTAATCCTCGTTGAAAATGTCTCTTAGATTTGGTTTTTGACTACTCTGTGGAAAATGTGTTGATAGGGTGGAATAAAACATGCGTATGTGGAGGGGTAATGAATCTATTAAAGTATTGACGGGCTATTGGTGTTGGTTATACACTCAGAAGAAACCACTTCACATGAAAAAATCTGTATAAGTTGATAAGTCGTACATAATTGGTGATTTTTTAAACACTTTCTTCTCGAAATCAAAGCTCTCCCTTTGTAATATATTGCCTATATGCAACCAGTATCTGCTACAGCTTCAGAAATAGACAATACATTGGTTTGATATATCTATAACCACTTCTATAAGAATCTGGGACCAGATTTTGCAGCATATCAGAAATATATACCCTATATGATTCATTTTTATTACATATATATAGTAGATAAACTTCTCTGTAAATTAAGTACCACTTATCACCTAGGTGAATCTGATTGGCCGTTTCAAGGTCGTCTGAAGTTGGTGTTTATTGTTTACTGTTGCCATACATCATTCAATTTTATGACACTAAAATCTTGTTAGATGAAGATAAGAAGTAGACAGAACGTCCTGTTGTTTGGTTGATGCAGGCTAGCAGTGAAATCAAGGATCCTTATTTCGTCCTGTTTGAAAATCATAGTCTTAATATGCCTGCATCGCCTCCGCAATGACTGTTGGCATTCTGACTGGAACTCAAACCATATCACCCATCGTTTTAGATGCAAAAAAGTGTTACCCACTAGGCCAGTTAGACTACGAAAACCACCTTTTGTGCAACAGGTGTATCGATAGTGATTTGTTTGTTAAATCAGTTTGTATTTCCCGTTAACTGAATAATATTGAACCGAAGCTCTCAGTCTCTGTTGTCAAATTAGAGCTTCGGCAAAACTTGGTTTAATTCACCTCACGAGTAAAACAACCATCGCATATATGTGTATAATCTACTGTTAACTATACAGGACTAAAACAAACTTTGAAAGTAAAGAAAAAAACCCAGGTTTTTAGTAGACAAGACATAGTTGTCATGTCAAACCATGAAAGTAGACGAAACAACTGACTGCTTCAACCGTGTGTGTGTGTATGTTTATGTGCATGAAATAAGATTTCTTTAGTTTTACGAAACGTTAATTGACTAATCTGATCAAAATGTAGACAACTGTTAGCAGAATAGTATTCAACTGTAGTTGTATTTGTGTTTGTTTTGTTTATTCAATATACAAGTGTGTCTGTACAATAACCGTTAATTTTACCACATGTATAATAGACACTTTAATTATTTTGACAATTTTTTTTAAAAGTTAAGGTATTATATATGTAGAAGTGAAAGACACTCAGACGACAAACACTTACACCTAACTATAAATGAATTTATTCCTAATTATAAATAAATTGACAATAACAATGTCAAAGTGTTGCAGAAGATTTCACTACTTACATACAGAATTAACTGTACATACTATCATCTCTGCCTCATACGCACACAACTAAGCCGATATATATATATGAACACCTATGCACCTTTGTTGGGGTATGTATGAAACGTATTCATCATCAAACAAAGCATGGAGTGGCAATCAAACCTCTACCTCAACTTTATAGACTTTGAGAAGGCCTTCGACAGACAGCGTTGACTGCGAAGTAATTTGGAAACTACTCGAGTACTACGGCTGCAGCGCCCAAATATTCATCAACTTCATTCAACAGCTTTACGACAATGGCGGCACATCTCAAGTGATCCACAACGGAAAACTCAGCGAGGCATTTGGAGTAAACACAGGAGTCAGACAAGGGTGCCGGCTTATTATCACCAATGATATTCCTAATCGTGGTGGACTGGATTATGCGTCAGACTGTGGAAAACGAGAAGACAGGAATATCCTGGACCGACGTGAAGAACCTAGAAGACCTGGATTTCGCGCGTGGATGATTTATGTTTGATGTCACTGTCACAAAATCGAAGACTTACAAGCAAAACCGACAAACTGGTCGAAGAAGCAGTCGGCGAAGACAGGACTCCATGTGAACATAGACAAGACGGAGGTGATGAAAATAACCAAACAACAACTACTACAACAACAGCAACATCCAGCGCCAATCACCATCAACGGGAGGGATTTGAAAGAGCTTACTTCATTAATTCACTCATCTAGGGAGCATTGTCTCAACTACAGGAGGAACACATGAGGATGTCAAATCGAGTGACAATCGGGAAGGCGAGAAACCCATTCATTAACCTGAAACCAATCTGGAAATCTTTGTCACTCAGCATCAACGTCTACGCTGGCTACATACTGAAGATCAGATGGCGGGGCCGGAAAGAACCACCAACAAGAAACTATAGACACTAACAAACAAAACAAGGACCAATCGCCACCCAACAAATATCCAGGAGAAAGTGGAGATGGACTGGACACTCGCTCTCTGAGGAGGCCGCTGGGTGACACCGCGCGAGCGTCAGGCCATTTCTCGAGTGGAACTAGGCCGAAAGGGAAGCGGCGAGTGGGACGTCAGTGCAAGGGTGACATGGAGGAGATCGTGTGAAGAGGAGTTCAAACAGTATGGAATAACATAGATGCAGGTGAAAAGTACAGCAGAAGACAGAAGGAAGTGGAGACGTGCGGTTGAAGCCCTATGTTCCACTAGGAACCCAAGGGAACAATAATAAATAATAATAATTCGTATTCAAGTGTTGGTTTGTAGGGATTTGATTGGTTTCAGGATTTCATCATGAGCTGACATTAGTTAGAGAACCATTGGAAAACCTGGGAGTACTGGACAGCTGTCCAACA